TACGACCATAAAAAGCGCACACCACACGACACAAATGCATGCCTCTGAGTCTCTCGTTGAAGTTTGTCTTAAATTTTCGGGCACTCAACAGCTGTGCGCTGCAGTGCTTGTTGTTTATTACACCGAGGCCGCAATGGCTTTGGTGAGTGCGTGTGTGCCGCATGGCGGTATTTGGAGATCTTAAAAGTTGGTGCGGGTTTCCGACGAATGCGCGTATAGTTCTTACGGCACATCACTTTTAAAAATTTGGGCCTCCAAAAGTCACTTTATGTATCGAAAAATCGCGTTCTCTTATACGTAGGGCGGAATGGTTTCGCGACGCCCACAAAAGGCCCCACATCGATTCGCGCGAGCAGCACAGCTTGCACGGTTTCGGTAGGAGATACGGAAAACGACACTTCGGCTCTTTCTACTATTATATAGTAGATGATTAGGATTTTTGCTGAAGCCCACCCCCTCTTGCACACGCTATTTGTACTTGTAGGCATAGCCACCAAAATGTCAACCGGCGGGGCCGGTCTGATGTAAACCATTTGGCACGGCCCCGTTGTAGCCCCGCGGCGGCCATGGGAAGTGTAGCGCACGCGGCTGTTCGTCCCCGCCTGAGTGTAGCCGAGGTCCAGATTTTTGTAGCCGGGGCGAATTTTTTTTTATCCTATCACGTTATATCTCATTCGGCTCTCTCTTGATTGGCTGCTTTGATTTGACAGGCACACCATAGATAGTGTTTTTGGGATAGCGATAGTAGTATTATAAGCCCGAGTTAGTTGTGTGTATATGTTTAGTTAGTTATAGTTTGTTAGAGTTTGTTATATAGTAATATATAGTATATATAGTTGTTTATAGTTTTGTTAGTATAGTTTAGTTTTTTTATAGTTAGTGTTGGTGTTTCGGTTAGAGTTAGGTGGGGTTGGATTAGGTCTAGGTTAGGATAGCGTTAGGTGTTAGGTGGTTAGAATTTGTCAATCATTCCTTGATATACGGAAATTATATATGATCGGAAGTTGAATGATGAGTATTTATCCAAGCCCATGGATATCACTGTGTAGGTAATAAAATAAATTCGGCAAGCCGCTGGGGACCGTCTATGTAGGCCACGGGGCCAGAATTTGTATACATCGGCGTCTGGGCGCGGGCTACCTTGAAACCCTACCCCTAACTCCATCACCGTAACTGAACCCTACCCCTTTTTTGAAACTTTCCCGAATTTTTAAAAATACTAAGAAACATAGTAATGGTGCGATATTTGGGTGGATGATAGAGGAGTGGGCAAGATGCACATAGCTCCATTACCCACACTTATTTTACGTGCGTGCAAAGCTATATAGAGGTGGTGTACGACAGTAGAAAACCTCCATGAGCAGCAGGCCTGAATAAGCATCGGACAGAAATTAATTAAACATCCTCACACTCTTTCGCTGCATAGACAACGTAAACTTTATTCATGTCAAATAACTACAGATTCATGCCTTATGCTTTGCTTGAACTTTTTCCCAGCTATATGATGCGAATTTCTAGAAAGTAGTCGGATCACATTTCAAATAGAAAAATGACCAACCGGTCACCATGGCTACGCCACTTGACGTAATGTCACAGCTACACGACAAGACAAATTTTACTTCTAATGCTTTCTAGACGTCCACGAGGCATCTAACTTGGGTGCGTGCGTGTGCACGTACACGTGTGTGCATGCGTGCATATGTGTGTGCGTGCGTACGTGCGAGTGCAGGTACACTTGTGTGCATGCTTGCGTGCGTGCGTGCGTGCATGTGCACGTACCCGTGCGTGCATGCGTGCGTGTGTGTGCACGTACACGTGTGTGCGCGTGCCTGCGGTGACTGCGTGCGAGTGTACGTACACGTGCGTGCGTGCGTGCGTGTGCACGTCCACGTGTGTGCGCGTGCCTGCGTGCGTGTGCACGTACATTTGCGTGCGTGCGTGCGTGCGTACTTGCGTGCGTGTGCACACAGGCACTTGAAGCGTTTCGATAAAATATAATGCTAAATAAATACGAATCACGTGAATATATAATATGAATATAATATGAAATATAATATGAATATCAATTTTATAGATAGATAGATAGATAGATAGATAGATAGATAGATAGATAGATAGATAGATAGCTAGATAGATAGATAGATAGATAGATAGATAGATAGATAGATAGATAGATAGATAGATAGATAGATAGATAGATAGATAGATAGATAGATAGATAGATAGATAGATAGATAGATAGATAGATAGATAGATAGATAGATAGATAGATAGACAGATAAATAGATAGATAGATAGATAGATAGATAGATATACAAATAGATAGATATACAGATAGATAGATAGATAGATAGATATACAGATAGATAGAAGGGATGAGATAAGACAAATAGAGACGCAAAAGAAGGGACACGCCGAAATAGATATGTGTGCACGAGTTAGCGATAGATAGGGGAGACTAGTGCAGACAAAGGGAGAGGGGGGAATGGGCATGTGAATGGAATGAAAACAAGACAAACACTAGCGAGAGCGAAGATTACGAAGAGCAAGGCAGGGAGCAAATGAGGTGAGGATTGGCGGAGTATGAGTTGAGCAGGAGTTGGGAGCAGAAGGAATGAGAGAAGGAAGAGCAACGAGCGCCAATAGATTTCCTTTGTCTGTGAATTAGGTGACTGATCGGCGGTGTGTAGGTCTAGTGCAATCCGACGATGTAAGCAAAGCTGCTTTGTACCGCGCAATATATCGCCGGTCTGTACCCAACGGACGGGTGGTTGTGAAGGTTATGTAGCACGCCGCACATCGACACCATGCCAGCAAACGCGGCAATGGCATTTAGGGAATGCAAATAAACGATTATGGGGCAGCTTCCGACTCGTCTCCCTTCTGCCGGATGGATCGGAACATTATCCACGCAAGCACGTATGCATTGTAACCGAGCGATCGCATTATCAGGGTTCGGCGCGTCGTCGCTGCCACACAACACAGCTTCAACGCGAATATTGTGGTTAGGGCTATAGTAGTCACCGCTGACGAATATATTCGGAAAGTCAAAGAATATCTTGTGGCGACCAATCGCGTTTTAGCCGATGCCGCCACCACGGCGTTCGTTTTCTCGAACGCGGCGTGTTTTGTCGTTTTGACTGAGTGTTGCTACTTAAAACCTATTTTTATTCCGACATGCTCTGAATAGTTGGAAAGCCAGAGCGATTGGATTCGCATCTAGGGAGAAATACAGTGACAGTGTGTGCGCTTGTGCCACGCGGTCTTGCGGATTGGCTTAATTGCGTTCGAAGTGCTGGCCTGCGACGTTTGAAACTGGGAAATGGAAATCTTTGCTATCATCTTGACGGTGTCGATGTTCGCTGTAGCTCAAACTGCAGGGAATTTGCAACAAAACCGGTAAGTATCATTACTTACAAATACATTCTCTACAAATTCAGTCAGAACGCACTGTGCCACCATATCCTTTTGTCCGAACAATACAATCAATAGCTGAACCATACAAGGCATATAATTAAAATTCATAAGTAGAGAGTTAAAAAAATAACTTACGAACGAGATTTTGCAGATGGCTTTTTCAAATAAATAATTATAGGTTCTAAATAGCGGTGGCATGGGCAATTAGGAAAATGCCTATGGTATTATATAAATGATGAATTATAATTATTCTTTAATTCGCTGTTTGATCTCAGCGGATACCTGATCGTGGCGCCCTCGGTATTTCGAGTTAACGTAGTGGAGAGAATCACAGTGACAGTGTTCGGCGACGACTCTGTGGACGTCGAGGCGAGATTGCTCGGACCTGAGCTGAACGTACTTGCCGAAACCCGCCACAATGTGACAAGTAAAGCACTACTGTCAATCAAGGTAGACCCAATCGCCACGACACGACCTTCATGCATGACTAGCCACACCAACCTACATATTGCAACGCAAGACAACCTAAGACTGTTATATATATCTCTCTTTCTCTCTCTCTCTCTCTCTCTCTCTCTCTCTCTCTCTCTCTCTCTCTCTCTCTCACTCTCCTCTCTCGTTCTCTTTTCTTGTGTCCGCTCTTCTCTCTCTGCATCCTTGCCAATAATATATACATATATATATATATATATATATATATCATATGGTGCATTGATATTACTACTGCATTATTTATATATTATTAACGAACTACGTGTAGACGCCATGCAATTTAACGGCTATGCGACGTAATGCAACGCGTATCGCAGCTTACCGCACCTCAAGCGCTACCAAACAGAACTAAAAAAATGGCAGCACGCGCCCACAGCACGCACGTCTTTCGCAAAAACTATCTTCTTTTGCACACTAGCACCATGCATTGTCAGCAGGATGCACGAGATCAGGTAACAGGTGGCTATAGTTATAAATATAGGTACTCATAAACTTTCTTTCAATCATGTGCGCGTTTAGTTTATTAGGTATCCGAGTACGTTAGTACGCGTGATTAATTAGCCTAGAACCATCGTACTAGTTTTTCTGATTAGCGCGTATTCATACACATATTCGTACTGAGGCGAAATTCATGCGAAATAATGTGTGGAAGTAGGTTGTTGGATGGCACGCAGAAGGCTAAGAATTTCTTGGAGTATCGGTAAATTGCCGTACAGATGGACACTCTGGTCGAACCTTCTTAATAACTCGACACTGGTGACACTCCGCAGAGATATACAACTCGTCTGCCTGCAGACGACAGGCCGGTCTATCACACCGAGCCATACAGGTTTGTTAATATTATATATATATTAATTATAGTATAATAATAATATATAATGATCAATTAATTATATATATAATATATATAAATATCATATATAGATATATATATATATATATATACTAGAGGCCAACAGCCACTCCGTGTTGTTTTGTGTCCGTTTTGTTTTCGCCGATTGCGCTTCTCCGTTGAATATTTGTGGCAAAATTTTTATGTGGTCATCCGGGCAACGAGGGTATCATAGTCCTCAAAGTTGAGAGCAAGTTATATTCACACATAGAAAACATGCACTCTCTTGGCAAAATGGGGTTTGAACTCACAGCCTTCGCAGTGAATGGTGGACGCACTAACCACTGCACAACCGCAGTACCTCGTCGTGTGCGTGCATGTGCATTCGCGCGCGTGCATGCAGGCGTGTGCGCGTGCATGTGCGTGCACGCTCACGCGCGAGGTTGTGTAAATGTGAGGGGCGTGAGCGTGTTACGTGCATTTTATTGGCACTGTTGGGTGGATGCGTTTGTGAATTCTACTGCAGGACTGGGAAACCACAGCGTGAAATATCAACTTTCTAGTATACTCTTCAGTTCGGCATAGACGTAATAGGTTTAGATAGTCCTTCGCTGTAAGGAAGTATTCCTATTTCAGTTCACGTGCGAGCGATGCTGGTAGGCTTAGACCTGAAACCAGCTACTGAAAAACTGGAGGTATTCGTAGAGGTAAATCATACTGTGATAATATATACGATAATAATATACTGACAGTGTGTGATCCGAATAATGCACAAATTTAAGTGAAAACCAGGTAGTTTAACTCGGACTGACTAATTAATCCCACAAATATAGATAATGTTGAGATTACGCCGCAATGAATAAAATATTACTGCGATTTCAAAATTTTCACGTTTGGCTTGATATAATCATTGAAATAAGAAATTAAATTAAATTATAATTGATCTACTTTACAAAATAATCCATAATGAAGTTTTCGTTATACGCGGGGAGTATGATACGAGGCAATTGTATTAAAACGACAACGTGCGAGTCTGTCATGTGTGCGTGCATTGCAGGACGTATACGGGGTGAGGGTGAGGAAGTGGAACGAGCTAACGGAAGACTGTGGCGGCGTTAGAAGAGCCGAATTCACACTTTCGCGCCGTCCGGTGCTGGGCTCGTGGAAAGTCTATGCTGTTACAAAGGATGGACGCACATTCAATGCTTCGTTCTACGTGACGAAAAAAGGTGGATAAGCCCTTTGGAATTCTTGATATATGAGCCACAATTTTGACTTGATAAAATTACGGCTGTGTGAATTCGGCATCAGCCCGAGTGACAGTACCCATCAAGTTAATTTATGGATAAAGAATAAAAGAATACACATCAGAGATATGATCATAAATAAACTTCAAAACTCGGTAAATGGTGCGTTCCTTCCTTTTGCTTTAAGCATGCCATGTTCCTTCAAGAATTATACCGTTCGAAATGTGGCATAATATAAACTTCTTCAGAAATGTATTGTTATGTAAATTTCAGGATTACCGTCTTTCGGTGTGTATATTGCTGTTCCTGCGTTTATACGAAACTGGCAAATTTGCCCAGAGATTAGTGTGTCAGCAAGGTACGTAAGGTATTTATAGGTAGATGTGTCTGTGTCTGTGTAGATGTGTACGCGTACACGCACGTACGCTCGTTCCAGTGTATACAGTGTATATTTACGAATTTAATTATTTGTTTATTTGTTAGGTTACTTATTAATTAATTTATTTATTTATGTAATAACTTTATTTACATATGTGTGCATGTAGGTAATGCATACATGATATTAGAAATGATGAAGTTGAAAGATTCAATATATATATATATATATATATATATAATATACCAATTAAATATATTTACGCATAAATGCATGGAATGTATGTCTGCAGTCTAATGGCTGGGCAGAACACTAAATATATGTTTTAGTGCGCAGTCTGTATACTGTCCTCGTCCCCATTCAAATCACGATTTCCTGCTATAGAATGTTGAAAAAACAACTACGCAACATATGCGTATTTGTGAAACCATTGTGCGCAGAATTTTAACTCTAAAGTGTGTTTTAGATGAAATAGCCAAAAAATAAATAAATGAAACGATGCGATCGTTTTGCACGATTATATCGACTTCCAAGTGGTCCCCTAGAATCAATGTTTGTACAGTATTAAGATGGTTTGGTCGTGTCTAAAGCCCGGCGCACACGTGAGTAATTTTACTCAAGTAAAATGATGCATGCGTCAAAGTACTCAACGAAGATCCGCCGCACACGTGAGTATTTTGACGCATGCATAATTTTACTTGAGTAAAATTACTCAAGTACGTGTGCGCCGGGCTTTAGGTGCTTTTAATGACGCATTGTTTTAGGTACTTCTACGGCGAGCCGGTGTCAGGACAGGCTATCGTAACGGTCTCGGTTCGCGGGGACGACGGCAGCCTTCCGCTGGCGCAGCAAACACCCGTGGTACTGCAGCAGACCGTAAGTATGGCTCACCGCGCGCAGCAGTTTTTGCGTATGTCGATCTTTTACCATAAATCGCGCATCCAAAGTGCACGCAAACAAACAAAGCGATATGCTTACGCGCTAACAGTCTAGCATTATCGCCTATGTATTTCATTGTGGAATAAATAATGCTGGGGGGGGGTATAGTATGATATGTGAGAGAGATTATATGATATAGAGACATTAAGATATAATATATTATCATGAGTAAGTAATCACAAATTTGTGATTATTTACTCCCGATGTTACATAGATGAGCCATGAGTGTGAAAGACTGCCGTACACATTTGCAGATAAGCGGAAAGGTTCATTTTAACGTGTGCCTGGCGGAGATTTTCGACACAGACACAATGAAAGCATTTCGTGGGTCGCTGTATATAGATGCGACCGTTACGAGCACGCAGGGAACTACGGTGACGGCTTTTGACGATTCATGCGTCGTCAGGAGGCCGCTAGTTGATCTGCGATTTTCACAATCGACAAGAAAATATTTCAAACCTGGATTTCCTTACAGTGGACAGGTATATCTTCCCACGTACGAGCATAAGGGCGAACCACGGTTACCTATATACGTATTGTTGTGCGATTATTTTAAGTTATAATCCCTCAATACCATTACATACGAAAACATCGTCGAACGTTCTTCTTGCTCAACCGCTTCATTGAAACTCAAAGAATATTACCAGTGTATTATCTAGCACCAGCAAGATCTCTGTTCGTATTATTGATTAGACTATTGCACATTTCAGATAAAGGTTCTGTATCCTGATACTTCGCCAGCCGATGATGTCGTTCTAGAGGTGAAGATTGTTTCCGGCAGTCAAAACTTCATCGCCCAGGAAATCACTGCCTGGAACGGCGTGGCTGAGTTTCGGTTCTCTCAGGAGATCACCACCGACGTTGCCTGGCTAGAGGTGTGTATCACAGAACAACATTGATATTTGATTGCACAGCCTTTTGATTGCACAGTCGCGGTATTGATCCAAGTGCGGTAGGCTCTAGAGCCCGAACACCGTACCAGGCATAACTAAAAAAGAGCAGAACCCTATAACTATTGCTCAACCTAACCATATAACCACATCCTAGGCCTAACCCGAGTCTATCATTGCTGTTACGGAGTTTAAGCTGATCTTCTGAGAAAAATCAAAGAATATATGTAATATTACAAACATTACAATTTCCAATAAAAGCCACTGTATTTTATTCTTAGGCAAAAGTTGTAAAGATTAAGAAAGAAGTTGTTTTGGATTTTCCGGCCATATATCAGCCCCTAGTTGTACTGAAGCTGCCGAATGCCTGTGACCTCGCAGCAATTGCCCTCGGTCACACATATAAGGTATTGTTTGGAACATGTTTTCTTTACCTGCTCCTTAAATAGGTTTACACTATCTGCGTCTCTATCTCTTTACGCAAGGTTTCTTTCCTACATATATGATGCTAAAGTGGCCGTACACGCTTAATTACATCCCATATTTTGGCAAACGTATTCACGGGACATCACCATAACGCGAAGTCGTGCTTGCCAAAATAGTTCTACGAATAGTTAATACGAATTCTCTGACACCAAATTGACTGGGTTTTGATGTTCGCACTTACCATAATTACTTGCCAGGTTGGAGAGAATGCCAGCTTTGTAATAGACTCATCTTGTACGTGTGGTGTTGCAATCTATTATGAAGTTACCAGCAAGGGTAACATTTTAGACAGCGGAGACATAGTGACCACGCAATCGGACACAGGTAGTACAATAATTATTGAAAATTAGATACCAATTTAGCTAGCTTTAGGATTAGGAGCCCACATTCGTATAACAAAAACAATGTCAGTCAATCGTGTTCTTAACTAACGGCAATTACGTGTGATTCGTAATCATGAGCACATTTGTATAGATTTTTAATGGATAGCGCTTTTCCGACTGAAGATTCAATTAAAAAAATTATTGCGTAGGTCTCCTAACTTTTAATGCGTGCATGAGGGCGTGCGCCCGTGCGTTTTGTGTGTGCCTAAGAAGGGCTCATACCCATTTCAATATTCGGTTCCTTACCGGGAAGGCGGTTGTAGAAACGAGCTGAAACTAATGGTCACCGCCGACATGCTTCCCAGCGTCCGGGTTCTCTTCTATCACATCATCAACGATAGACTCATATCTGATTACGTCAGATTTACAGTGATTTTCGACCATTCGACTCAGGTGAGATGTCCCAGCAACACGAGCTCGGTTCTCTTCGTGATGTAGAAATGGCTAAGCATAACCTGTATTGATTGAATTGATGAAATTTCATCGGATATATATAGTTCAGAGGGAAATAAATATAATCTTAGTTAGATCCATAATAAAGTTATGGATAACTTTATTATGAATCTAACTCAGATTAACTTTATTTTCCCATTACCTGTATTGTACGGAAAAAGATAAATTAATACAATAATTTCTGAATGTATTATTGACCGAAGTTCATCTATTTGCACGTAAATTATTATTACGCGTGTAATATACTGCAATGTTATAGCGAATTATATATCTTGTTAGATCAATCTCAAGGTGCCTCAAGGTGGCGTTGCGCCAAAGGATAATGTTCAGCTGTTGGTTGAAGCTGAGCCGGGATCGTGTGTGTGCTTAGCGGCAGTCGATAGCAGCACGCTTCTCTATCACAACACAACGTGGATAAGCACAAAACATGCAAGTTACTGCTCATTGGAAATAGCAATTGAAGTAACCCGCTTCTCGTATATATCTATAAAACAGCTTCGCACTCCACAATTAACGCAGTTGACTCGAAGCACTATAGCTGTTTAATGCGGATAGTCCAGCAGTGAGTATTCCCGACAGATTCGTGACGCAAAAATGAAACGAATTAAAGTTATTTTGTCTACCGCACTTGTTTACCAGACTCATTCAGTCTCTCATTTCTGTGTGTTCAAGCAGGTAAACAGCTTGTTGAGCAGATATACGCTACAGGAGAGCAATCTGATGTGGCCGTTTGGAAACAATAATCCGACGAAACGAAGGAGGAAGAGAGGTTACTGGTGGCAGAAAAGCTTTATAAAAGCCATATCCAACATATTTGCCGTAAGAGCTGGCAAACATGCGCATGAAATCATCACGGTGTGGCGTATATAATCAGAAGTGAATAATAATAGATATATAGAATAATATATAGAATAATATATTTAATATAGGGCCTATATAGAATAATATATAGATAATATATAGAATAATAATCTATTATTATCTACTCCTGATGTAATCATGCTATCTAATGAATGAAAGTAATATAGTTTCATTAATTTTCATGTAAGTTATATAGACAGCATGCGTGGCTTTTCACATACACGCATCTATGCGTATATTTCAGGCAAACAGCCTCGTGATAATGTCAGACGTGCTAGTGATGGATGATCTAACGCCACCCAGTACACATATAGAGAATCAGATATACTTCATACCAGGTAGGGCAATCCTACCTACAGGTAATTTTACGATCTTCCTATTACTTGAATTTCCATATATACTAGCTGCGTAGGCCTATAGTTTATCGTTGTGTTCTCAACAGTGATAACAGATAATAGTGATATCTGATAGTCCGTTAGATTTTGATTTTTGTGTGTACACCCGACGCCCATCACAGGCTAGGATTTCTAGGGGGTTCGTTTGTGTGCAGGGCTGGGGGAGGTGGCCGAGCATCAGCGGGTCATGGAAGAGTTAAATGCGCAGGAGAGCTTAGCACGCATATTTTTCCCAGAAACATGGATCTGGAGCTGCTTCCCAATGAGGTATATGTGTCAGGCATATAATATAATCACATAATTTGTCAACAGTGGCTCTTATATGAATGTGATACGGCTTTGCGTTTATAAAAACCGAAACCATAATTAGACAAATTTATTTGCGATTTCCACGCAATGAATAATTAGAATCAATATATAAATGCCTGTTTCATCTAGTGCCTTTCTTCTAATACGCTGCCAGGTTACCTTATCTTGCATTCAATACTTTTACGAAGCACAACAACGGCAACGAGAAACTTCACCGTCCCTGCGACGTTAACAACATGGACGCTGCAGGCGACTTCACTCTCACAAGTTAGTCGCCTCGGCATCGGACCTGTCCACTACCTCACCGTGCAGAAACAGTTTCTTGTTGAGATGCAAGCGCCAAAATCTCTTGTAGAGCAGGAGAGCTGTTGGCTTCCAGTTAGAATCTTCAACAGTCTTGATTCCTGCGTCAAGGTAGTTTGAGTCTGCTCTCTTATAATAGTTCCGGAGTAGGTTCAGTATGCTTGGCAAAAACACTACAATAATATAACAATCGATTATTATGTAATTAAAAGTTACGGTAGTTAACACGAAATTACAGTAGCTATAGATACTAATAACCTAACAGAAATCAACACAACATTGTTCGTCACAGGTACGTTTCTCCCTTAAGTTGGATGGGAACGTTTTATTCGAGGATACTCTATTAAACCAGCGATCGCTCCAGATCTATTTAAACAGCAACGACACGTATGCAGAACAAATGAACGTTATCTTCACCGAACCTGGCGAGTTCAGAATCACAGGTTTGTCGTCAATTCAACAGTCTTAAGTTAACTTAACGAGAATGCAAAGTAGGCAAATTGTACACTTTATTACAATAATAATTATGTAGTTTCGTCACTAAAAATTTCATTAGGTTTTTAGTTGTTTTTTACACCTATGAAATCGTCGGCTAATGTATGTAAAGCGTTTTTTCATTATAAAATTTTATGTGGTAAATTATTTAATAATTTATTGACGATAAGAACTTATTTCCCTGAATGTTGGAAATTTCGTTTTAGACCTACTAGGCATTCTCACTCGCTTGATATGTATATATGTGATATGTATATCAAGAGTAGATAATAGGAGATATCCTATTATGTACTCTTGATGTATATCAGGAGCGTATAATGACAAATATTTGTATTATACATTCATGACGTATTTGTCATTATACGCTCCTGATGTATATGTATATTTGTTTCACAGCGACGGCAACAGCTCTGTCTTCGCGCATTTGTCAGAAAAGCAACAGTATAGGTGAGGCTGACGGGGCCGATGACGGTGACGATGGCAATGAAGTGGCATCTGATATAGTAACACGAAAAGGTGTTGTTGTCGCACTAGGAAAACTCGTCCACGCATCCACGTCTATCTACATCTGTTCGACTGGTAAACCTAGTTGTACTTTTACAGTAACATAATCTATACTTGCATCGAGGCTTACACACGTCTTAGGCAATGGTCCAACCTAATCTGACGCACACGTCCACGGTCCGGTAAATAAGAATAAAAATATTTGTATATATATCAGGAGTGTATAATAGGTGTGTATTATACACTCCTGATATATATATAGCTCCGATGCGATATGTTACTGAAAGACCTGTTGATAGATGCAGTTCCAACCGCTACGGTGAGAACGAGGTTGCGGACATAGCAGGCGGCTGAACGTGATTTGATTGTTCTATTTGTAGCCAACGGAACATCTACTGAAGAAGTACTTACTGTCGAGGCGCCTATAAATGCTATTACGGGCTCGCAGAGCGGCTATTTAACCATAAGTGGTGAGCTATTTGCTATCTATAAAAATGCTATATACCTTGGAATATTGGGCATTGGAAGGAAACCATTGACATGGAGTTGTTACTAGTAACGTCGAGTATATCTAATAGAATTGACGGACTATAGTTTGCATCCGAAATTGGGGTTTCTCTTTTACTTTCCCCGTACAATGTGCAAATACAAACGAATACCCTGTTAGAATGGGTTATATTTTACCGAGTTAAAATATAATAAAGACTACTACTGTTTATATATATATATATATATATATATATATATATATATATATATATATATATATATATATGTGTGTGTGTGTGTGTGTGTGTGTGTGTGTGTGTGTGTGTGTGTGTGTGTGTGCGTGTGCGCGTGCGTGTGCGTGCGTGCGTGCGTGTTTGTGTGTGTGCGCGTGTGCGTGCATGTGCCTGCGTGTGCGTGTGCGTGTGCGTGTGCGTGTGCGTGTGCGTGTGTGTGTGTGTGTGTTTAAGTTAATGTATTAATTCAGATAAAAAATTACAAGCGTATTGAAGGTTATACCGGGTGTTATTATAAGGTGGGGCGGGTTTATCACGCAGGAGTGGACCATTTTAATCATATCGGGACTCGGAAATACCGAATGATTGTTCGTGATTAGGGAATAGAAGTTAAATTAGGACGCGGGAAACCATACCTGCAGTTTTAAATAACCGGTAACTGCGAACTGATATTTTAAACTGGAAATCTGGCAATAGACCTCCCGTTTCCCCTCCTATTTCTGACAAAAACTCAACGCATATACGCGGCAAATATATCGGGCACGTCCATTGTTTTAAGTTGATAGCAAGTTGTCGGTTGAACTGATGATAATCGTTTGCATTTGCCATTCCCATTTTGTTGTTTGCAGGCGACATTTTAGGTACTTCAGTGCTCAACGTCGAGCGGCTGGTCGATCTACCGTCGGGCGGAGGGGAGCAGAATCTTGTGCACTTCACACCTGCCGTACACTTGCTGCGATACCTCGAGCAGACGCATCAGCTGACGTCACAAACACGGCAGACGATCTCACAACTGCTTAATACATGTACGAACTCACTAAAAAACAAGCACTAAAAAATATTCCTCCTCCATTGACACATCTTGACCTTTGCCCCTTGACCCCCAAATTCGACATCCCGAGTTCTTTTCGCGATCCCCCCCCCCCGACGTCCCAAATATCAAGGCCGTACGTCGAGCGGTTAAGATTTGTGCCATAACTGTTGACGGGCGGACGCACGGACGGACGGACGGACGGACGGACGAACGCTCATGCGATTCTACAACCTGCATCTGACTAAGTCAGATGAGCTAGAAACACACTACATCGATGGAAGAATCGACCGAAACATGCAACAGTTATCGGAGTACATGGCTGATATTTAAGTGCGATTCAGCGGATACGTGTTTTCGGTTCCGGGGGTCACCATAACTTTCATGAACACGCACGGAACCACATGACACCACGCGACAGGTTCTCTCGCTGTTTTTCAATATTGCCATTACGCTCGAATGTGATTACGAGCCGCAAGCTTACATTCGTACGCCAATACAATCCCGCAAACTTAATTTGCTCATGGCACAGATCAAGATTCCTGTGGCCATGTCGCGATACTGGGACGCAGCGCTGTGCCGTTTTATGTGTGCATTACGAGACTATAACGGACGCTATTATTATTATTATTAGGCTATTATTTAGCTGTTAGGCAAGCCATTTCCGTTTCCTCGCGACGTGTTCATTCGTCACAAAGTACGCCGCATGATCGGCTGCTCATATTCCACACGTTTCGCCTCTATGCATGCAGCGCTACCGCGTTGATACGGAGAATTTACTCCATATAAGCACACATACACGTAGTAATTTGTCGTGCGCAGGCTATATGGACCAGCTGTCGTTCAGACTCTCAGACGGCTCCTTCAGCGCGTTTGGCAAGGAAAGCGATCCGTGGCTGACGGCCTTTACGGCGAAATCGTTCGCCGCCGCCAAGCAGTACGTGAACGTAGATGATGACGTCATTCGCACAGCTAAGACCTGGCTATTCGATCACCAGCAACTCGACGGCTCATTCGAGGGCAATAAAGGTTTAATAGCGGGCAGCCAGGTACGCCGCGAAGTACACTACAGACACGCATGCAGACTGACACGCGTACACTTACAGACGCGCATGCACACGCACTCGCACACGCACGCACACACACACACACGCGCGCGCACACACACACACGCGCGCGCGCACACACGTGCATGTACGCACACACACGTGCACGTACGCACACACACGTGCACGTACGCACACACACGCGCACGTACGCGCACGCACGCGAACGTACGCACACGCACGCGAACGTACGCACACGCACGCGAACGTACGCACACGCACGCACGCACACATACGTGCACGCACGCACACGTGTACGCACGCACACATGTGTACGCACGCACACACGTGTACGCACGCGCACACGTGTACGCACGCACACACACGTGTACGCACGCACACACACACGTGTACGCACGCACATACGTGTACGCACCCACAGACAAGCCTAAGATCGCACACACCTTAACGTAACGAGCGCTCTCTTAGAATAGTCACTAGACTAAGATTATCTGGAACTGTTAGACGGTATAGAGTTCTACGTTAAAAATTTGATAGAATGAAATTCGATATTATGTTACGTTACGTCATGTCATGTTATGTTATGTTATGTTATGTTATATTGTAATATATTATATTACATTACATCCGGATTGAATAATAATAGTCAATTAATCTATAGGAGTGTTTCACGTGACGTCATAGATCAGGTCACGTGTATTTGTTATGTATCATGGATGGCAGAAGCGAAGCGTGCTGCTTGACATTTACAGATGAATGACCACATGTTCTGATAGAAAGCGCTGTTTATGTAGTGCACGTACACGCGCGTGATGCGTGCTTGCGTGTGCACGTACACGTGCGTGCGTGCGTGCGTGTGAACTTACACGTGCGTGCGTGTTCACGTACACGTTCGTACGTGCGTGCGTGCGTGGGCACGTACACGTGCGTGCATGCATGCGTTGGTGCGTACGTGCGTGCGTGTGCTTGTATCGAACAATATCACGCACCTGCTTGCTGCCAACCGTTAAACTGCGCATGTGCGCATATGACGTCAATGTTTATCAACATGAAACACTCCTATTACAAATCTATTATCATTCACTCCTGATTACATTGTACACGTACGTTATATATATGTTATATACATATGTGACCTATATTACCTATATTATATATTGTACACCTATTGTATTACCTATGTGACCTATATTACACGGTTTAGGAGCACTTGCACGACAAGCTGCTGATGACAGCTTACGTGGCGGCGGCTCTAGTCGAGATTGGTGCGTCGACGGAGCGCGACAACAAGGCGATCGCCGCCGCCAGGATCTACCTGGAGAACCACATGTACCTGCTCGCCGACCCGCACGTCGCCGCCGTCACGACGTACGCGCTGACGATGCTCGGCAGCAGAGCGGCGCTGCTCTCACAGCGCATCATGGAAGCCATTCTGCAGCAGTTCGGTGAGGTATAGTGTGAGACAGTGGTGAGACACGCGCAGAAAGCACAGAGCATAGTGTGAGACAGTGAGGCACGTGCAGAAAGCACAGAGCATAGTGTGAGACAGTGAGGTACACGCATAGCACAAAGCATAGTATGAGGCAGTAAGGCAGATGCATAGGACAAAGCATAGTGTGAGACAGTGAGGCACGTGCAGAAAGCACAGAGCATAGTGTGAGACAGTGAGGCACGTGCAGAAAGCACAAAGCATAGTATGAGACAGTGAGGCAGATGCATAGGACAAAGCATAGTATGAGGCAGTGAGGCAGATGCATAGGACAAAGCATAGTATGAGACAGTGAGGCAGATGCATAGGACAAAGCATAGTATGAGGCAGTGAGGCAGATGCATAGGACAAAACATAGTATGAGACAGTGAGGCACATGCATAGAACAACGCATAGTATGAGACAGTGAGGCAGATGCATAGGGCAAAACATAGTATGAGGCAGCGAGGCAGCTGCATAGCACAAAGCATAGTATGAGGCAGCGAGGCAGCTGCATAGCACAAAGCATAGTATGAGGCAGCGAGGCAGCTGCATAGCACAAAGCATATATAGTGTGAGATAGTGAGGCACGTGCACAGCACAGAGCATAGTGTGAGACAGTGAGGCACGTACGTATCATAAAGCGTAGTATGAGACATATCAGAAATATCAGAAAGCTCCTTTTCCTCTCGGTATGATATCGTTGCATATAAGTTATGAATAAAAAAATCGACTAACACGATATTTCCCCTTACTCATCAAATTTTCAAATTGCGTTTGACGAGGATTATCAAGAACGTAACTCCCGGAGCAGCATCCACGAGGAACTAACAACATTGCGTATATAAACAAAAACGTCTTTCTTTGGCTCGCCGGTACATTTGGGCATGCCCGGTCTCCAGAAGACTCGGCGCAGCGGCAATCCGCCCAAATATGGAGCACTCTGGATGGCTGGACGCAGCCCGACCAACCAGACATCGCGGGCACCTACCGTCCGACGTCCAGCGAGATCGAGACATGTGGTTACGCTCTGATGGCCTACCTGATGTCTAACAACCTAGAAAGGGCAGTCCCACTGGCTCACTGGCTGGCGTGTCAAACTAACCGCTATGGCGGCTTCCTCTCCACTCAGGTATATATATACCGTTAGCAATTTTGAGTCTCAAATAGATATATGTATATGCGGTTATTTTACTATAATTGGAGCAGGCAAATAATTGCTTTGCTAGTTTTACTGTGTGTACAGCCAACGAAAACTCGACTCGCGGTTCATGCAGTAGGCCCCCTATGCGTAGTGAAGGCACAATCGGTAGAAGACAATGGAACAATTTCATACTATGGTCGTTAATATGGTATATATGGTTAATATGGTATATTATTAACGTCGTATTAATAACGACCATAGTGACCGTAGCGTCACAATGGGGGTGCGGAACGTATCGGGTGACACCATAAGAGGGGGTGGCGCTAAAATGTCTTACCGAATTTTCATTTTAACCACATGGAACTACGTAAATATAAATAAATTACGGCGGTGCGTATGATATTGTAATTTTAAGTTTGCTAGTAGTTTATGTCACTACTAATTTGCCATTACATTCAGTGATATACGGGAATCACGATTTACGAGTAACATTAGTACAAAAAACATTACTAAGGATTCTATATGGTCTGGTACGGGAGGAGGTCCATGGGGGTGACACCATGAGTTACCGCACCGTGTGACACCAACCATAGTAACGCCGCTGCATAGTGACACTAGCATCGTCCTGTTACATATTTTTTTATTACCAAAAGGGAACATAGACTGCGATAATGCATTCATATAAGGGGGCTTCATAATTCGGTTAGCAATTAATAAAGTCAGCTGGTGAGGGATTGATTGGCATACATAGACTGCAGGAACCAGAAGCAAACATAGGTACAAATAATGGGAACACAACTTGACAAAAATATAAATTATAATGGGAGTAGGCGAAATTGTAATATTGCCGATTCTGAGAGTAGACGAAATGAGAGCAGGCGAAATGGGACGTAGGCGAAATGGGACGTAGGCGAAATGTGTGTAGGCGAAATAGGAGTAGGCCAACTGGGATATTACCATTGCAGGACACCGTCGTAGCTTTGCAAGCTCTCACCGAGTTTGCCGAGTATGCACACAAACCAAGCATCAACCACACTGTGTCCATCGTCTCCACGACTCTCAACCTAAACGTGGTCGCTACTGTCAACGCCTCCACAGGAATGCTGCAGCAACGCCAGAAACTGCCGAGCATACCTACAAAACTACTGGTGACATCAACGGGTGATGGATGCGCGCTTATCCAGGTCAGTGGTCACGCGATATAAACCCAGAATGGCTTATATCGATAATAATGAAATCTGGTTAGATCAGACGAGGTTTTGTTGAGAGGACTCATCTTGTATTGGGGTCGTTGAATTGCATCCCCCCACTCATGGGTACGGATGCACCCAATTTGCCGATGGCTTGGTTTCTTTTCCTTTGGAACCGCTGCCCCTTATTGCCCCTGTGATAATGAAATACATGTAGTATAGGCACCTAGAAATCTTCAGAAGTGTGTCTCATTTTGTGAATTACTCCAAAAAACTGCTGTAAAAGAGTGCATTTGAATAAATCCTGAGATGAGGGGGTGTATTCTTGAAGAGTCCAGAGATAGGGGGTGTGTTTCTACCGAGTCCTGAGATAGGGGTAGAAAAAGAGACAAAAAGCCCGCGAGCAGGTGGGTAAAAAATAATGGTCCTTCCTGAGATAGGGGGTGTTTTTGAAGTCAGGGAACAAGCATAGGCGTCCACCTAATATGCCGAGTGAGGGGCTGGGAATTGCACACGGGTATAGGCTCACAGAAAAGTGTCACTCGGCGTTTTCGGCAGTGCTCTACCGAGGGCTGTGCGATACAAATAAAACGTGCAATCCGTGTATTTTTTTGACATCTTTACGATGTTCATTTACAGGCAAATATTCAATACAATGTACTACATGAATCTTCAACAAGTAGTGACACGGACGCGTTCAGTGTTCAAGTGCACGTGACGAAAAGCACGCGTCTCGACAATCCCGATGAACACCGACAGGACATCATTGTACATGTGTGTCTGAGGTGAGACAACAATCATAGATAAGCGACCTTACTGGAACCCTATACATTACAATACTTATCTGTTCTCACATTAGCAAAGCGCAAATGTTAAATTTTTTTGGTATAAAACAAAGATACTTTGCAAGGCGTAAACTTAACATTTACTCTACAGGGGGTGTTGTTATAGTACAACCATACGTATTTATGAGTACGGTGAGTCAAAAATATCATAAGTGTTGCAGGATATACTTTGCTTCAAATGTTACGGCATTTTAGAATTACGATGTCACAAATAGTTACGACGTTTCTATCAACCGCCTGTTGTTTAAAATATAAAATTTTGTTGGTGACAATCATGTTGCATTAAAATTTCGCAAAAAACAACAACAACGAGAGACATGATACGGCAACATGGCCATAACGGCATCCTTACTATAAAGAAGCTAATATTGTGTGTGTGTGTGTGTGTGTGTGTGTGGGTGTGTGTGTGTGTGTGTGTGTTTTTGACATCGTTTTTCAAGTTTGTCATCTAAGCCAAAAAACGGGAAAAACGGGAAAATATACTGGGCCCTGCAGCAGCAGCAAATACTGGCCCCTGCAGCAGCAAAGCAGCAGCAGCAGCAAATACTGGCCCTTGCTGCAGCGCGCCCCTGCAGCAAATACTGGCCCCTGCTGCAGCGCGCCCCTGCAGCAGCAAAGCAGCAGCAGCAGCAAATACTGGCCCCTGCTGCAGCGCGCCCCTGCAGCAGCAAAGCAGCAGCAGCAAATATTGGCCCCTGCTGCAGCGCGCCCCTTACCTGCAGCAGCGCGCCCATGCAGCAGCAAATACTGGCCCCTGCTGCAACAGGATTCAAGTGCAACGGGTATATCTGCTAGTAACAATAACATGAACAATAGTTCGATACTTTTTATGTTAAATACGTATCAATCACTATCATCAGATGGACAGCTCCAGGCCAGTCAGTCATTATAGTGGCGGATGTTACGTTACCCACTGGATACGAGGTGACTGGCGTACAGGATGCCACATTCTTACAGATGGAGAAGTATGAGTTGGAAGACAGAAAAATCTTTTTGTACTTCTCGCAGGTATTTCTTGTTGTTCTTATTGTCACACGTTTTACAGTGGCAGGTTCTATAATAACATTTCAAGTCGCGCGTGAAGTACCTATTAATATAGCAGAAATTTTTTTTTGTTCTAGTCTAACTACCAAATTATCAACTACATAACTGTATTATCACGGCCTAATTGCTCATTGTTGCCGTTTTAAAACCGAGTGTACATGGGCGTGTACAGGGGGGGGGGGTCCAGGGGGTCCGGACCCTCCCCCCTGCTCGCGCAGAAAACGCATCTGAGGGGGTCTAATTTCAAAAATTTTGAGATTCCCAGACGCTTCACGTGCTCGCAAGTTTGGGTTACGGTTAGACCCCCCTGGTCCAAATCCTGTACACGCCCCTGGTGTATGCTTTTTCCTTCTAATACGTACGCTGGTTAATCATAATAAGGATAGATGTATTTCCCTGGAAACAACTGGCATAGAGCTAGCCACAAATTGCCTTCTCACTTTTCAGTACGTGGCGTTTCTACAACTGTAAAAGTCGTAGAGCCTGGTCGGGCTAGCATAGAGCAAATCTCGGGTCAATTAGAAATTGACTGAAGTTCATACGTCCGTGCAATGAATAAATGATCCGAAACGACACTTTAAATTACCGGCTACGAGGAAACGGTGTAACTTATCTACAAACAATTACCCTGATTGCAGATTCCGTCGAACGACTCCGCCTGTGTCTCAGTGTTGATGCAACAGAAGCTGGTCGTCGAACATCAGCAGACGATACCAGTGACAGTGTATACATACTACGAACCTTTGCGCCAAACGACAGTCTTCTACAGCATGGACAGCCATTCCACACGTAAGCCAGCCAGTGTGCGGGTTTGCTGGACGGCCATGTAGTCATGTTGTTTAGCACTAGGTGTAATAATACGCACAGCTAGTTTACTATCGTGTTTATAAAAACATTATTCCAGATGCAACAGGTGGAGAGCCCACTGCAGCTGAAGAATCCACAGCAGTAGCACCAGAAGCATTAGATGAATCAACTGATGCAGTACTTGAAACAGCAAATGAATCAACAGGACACAAAGTAGAAGAGAGAAATAAATCAACAGAGGCAGCATCGAAATTAAACGAATCCACGGAGGTCACAGTGGAAGCAGGAGGTGAATCAAGAGTTGAACAACTGCATACAGTAGTTCCATCAGCAGGATTAGAACTGGAAACAGCAGACGAATCAACAGAGGTAGCAACAAACGCGGTTGAGGGTAGCAATGACAATGAAACAATCCTGATTGATCCATGGGATGTATCCCCAAAGAGCTCCCTACCTGATGTTTTCGCAGCAATCATCCAACTCCAGAAGAATCCAGGTAAGTAACACACTCAAACCCGAATACAAAGCTGAGCAGGTATAAACAGTTTAAACATTTAAACTCTGTCTATTGAAATCAAATATGCAATCAAAATGATAAAATAAAACCAGGAATACAATTCAGAACCAAAGCTGTTGGGTGGTAATTTGGCTGTCACCTATTTGGATAAAAATAAACGATCAAAGCAGATGAAGGCAGACGATTTACTTGTTTCTTATTCTCCATCGTATAAAGACTAGCAATTTTATTACAAATGTATAGTATGTCTATAAATACATGCTACTTGATTTAATGAGACACGCTTTTCCATCACATCTTTACGTGTTCTTTTAGTATATGTATCTCTATTATATAGATGACTCCAAGACCTATAAGGAGTTTCTGGACATTCTAAAAGAAAATACAGCAAGCGAGCCTTTCACAGAGCTTGATTTGCCACCAAATACCCTCAACACCATTGACTTAGATCACGCGTATGCAGGCAACACAGGTAATAATTCTATAGCTAGCGTGGATGATAAGGCAGTAAGTACCCCAGGTAATGAAATTAAAGGCAGCACACTGAATAATGATGCAGGCCGTAACATAGGCGACGAAGATGCAGGCAGCAGTAGTGTACAGAGAGCTATCATACATAGAGACGAGTCAAATAATATGAATATTGAAAAGCCAGCTAGCACAGGTCATGAGCAGGCAGGCAGTATAGGTCTTGCACACACGGTAGCTGCGCAGAACACAGAGCTCAAACAGGAACGTGACCATATGTCTCTTACTGAGAACAGCACCAAGAGCATGCAAATGAACTGTAGCCATGATGAAGATGAACAGGGTAGAAACATTCGACAGAGAAATGACTCGACTATCAACTTGGCAAACACAACTGGCGACCAAATAGAAGGAGCTGAGAACGTAATTAACAAAGAATTAGACAATGACAGGATTTCCCAGCCAGTACATACTGCAGTTGCAGAGGAAGAATACCTACTCACAACTACTGTAGATGATCAAGTGTCAACCCAAAATATTACCGACACGGATGGAGACATTCCACCCACAAGCAATGCCCTTATAGAGGATGAAGTGCTGCGCAATGATAACACTCTAGCTACCAGTCAAGAAGACATAGATAACTCTGTGAATGATACGGAAAAGAATTAGCTTACAGTCACTTCTATATATTTATTTGACGTGGTTGTTTGTTAAAATGCAATTTATATGTGAGTGACACCAATGTGATTAAAGCTATCCAGTAAAAATCTGGGCTTGGTAAACAAATGTACGCTGCAATCAAAATAAAATAATAAAGTAATGACCAGTATATCAAAATGTTCAAAAATATCAATGGAAATATTTTCATTTTATAAAGGTAATCCTTGTGCTGCAGTCATGTACAACTGTTTTGAATATTCAACAGGAAATTTAAAAACAATTCTTTGGCTAAAACATAATAAAATAAATATAAAAATCATTATTTAATCCCATATATTAGACTTCATTTAATTCTAACTGGCTGACAACTTGATGTGAATAATTTTATGTAACACAAATAAGGTTACTTTTGATTTGTACTATTGAAGTAATAATACAAAATACCCCACTGAAATGAGCCTATAATCTTTGAGTGATAAAGTATATTATATTGTGAGGTGATTATATTTAATTCTACATGTCACAATATGTTAGTTGTTATCTTGATTTTATGTTCTGCCATATCAATTATTACACAAACACCTGTTTATTGTTGTTTAACACACACACACATACAAACACACATACAAACACACACACACACACACACACACACACATATATATATATATATATATATATATCTGTGTATATCAATATTTCATTTATGAACTAAACGTTTCTTTTATTCCCCATATTATTTCCCATAGTGGTCCTAAGAATGAATTGTGTTACCTATAAGTACATAAATACTCTCACTCATTACTGTCACAATATAACTTACAATCACTATATAAAGAAAACACAGTCAAATTTTTGACAGACAATTAATTTACGGTTTCAATGCAATAAATAAAAACGCTTATTTTCATGATGATCATATATATGCTTGAGCACTTCTTACTCATATTCTGCATTGAATGATTAGATAAATTTCCATCACATTTGTTTTTATCACCCACGCCACCAGAGTCAATAATCTACAAGGTGTAACAAACTCGGTACGTATGCAGGTATTTTTTCTGCACTCCCATGCCCATAATTTTTAGTATATTATCAACAAGTCAACAGTAGATCTCACAGATTTTCAATTGTTTATAGGTATGCCATACACTATATAGACTTTACTAAACACACACGCTTCTTCCGCTGGGCACCATGTATATAATAGATTAGTGTTGCCTTAAATTTGTCGTTTTGAGAATAACTAACTACTGTACAAGGAACATACAGATTTGGCACAGGAATACCAGTAACTTAGCTTCTGTATCTTTGAGTTATCCACTGCCTCTACACTCACAACTGCGTCCTTGTCGTGGTAATACTGACAATTTGTTTATCAGACTTGGAGAACACAAGGGACAAGAGATGTACATGCCTATACTGATAACTACAATCCTAATTTAGATATTTATCACTTACATGCTGATAAGGGGACAGATGTACCAAATTCTCATGTTATCAATGTTATGTGAGAGCTCGTTTTGCTATCAGCCGTCTCTCCAGCTCTTGTTCCTTTTTGCGTTGCTGCTCTTTCTGCAATCTATCCTTTTCTTTCATCTGCTGTAGTTTTGTGACTCGCTTCTGTGTAGAACAAACATGTTCATGGTAGTGTAAAAAGCTAGTGTAATGTTTGTTTTATGAAACTTATTTTAACCTTGCTTTATTCTTGACATAATTCAGATGGTGCTACTCGCTTTCTTCAAATTCCGTAGTATTGTTTCGATTATCAGAATGAGATTCTGAATCCGCTTCCTCATCAACTGATAATGTATCATGGTCTGCATGGTAGTACTGGGCCCTTCACAGCTGTCTGCAAGGCTTGGAACATCTTCTGCCTCTAGCAGTATTTTTCTCCCAGACATCAAATGCAGATTCTGCATTATATTCTGATACACTCCCAGTATGAATGCTTATTTTCATAAGAATATTGTAAATATAAATGTAGGTTGTAATCGCTAACATGGCTGAAACCACCGGCTCGAAGGGCCAGTGTTTTGCCAATGTTACTGGCCCTCCAAAAAATTTGCCAGCATATGCCGGTGGGCCGGTGCTAATTTCGCGCTGTGGCTTCTGGTATACATTTCAGATGTGCAATGTCACATAAGTACCCGCTATGTAGTAACTGTAATAAGTAACACAGTACTACTGTATTATGAAACCCGCATATTTTAAAGAACCATTTTAATTTCTCAACAGGTCATTCAAATTCATTGGTTTTTATTAATAAAAATGCGCCAATCACTATAAGGCCTACCTTCACTTTGGTAGTTTTCTCATGAATTTCAACCATTTCCTTCTTTATCTTTACTAGTTTGTTCTGATATAGCCTTGTTCTGACCATCTAAATTGAACAATTATAAACCAATACTAAAGCTGTCAACCTGGAAACAGATGAATCAATGGAACCCAAATTTTTTGGCTACTATAGTTAATACTAAAATTCAAAGTAGCAGCGAGAAAGTATTGCCAATCTCTATCACATTTTATATCAGCATGATACTGATAATTAAGGGTAGAGTATAGAATTCTGAATAACTCTGCGACCTGCAAATTCATCCAGACACATTATAGCATTTAATATATGTTAATGACCACATGCACAATACCAAATTTTCCAACTGTTGTGCAACTTCCAAGTCTTTGAACTTGGTATTCTCCTCTTGAACACCTTCTTGCAAAATTATTTGATTTTGCCTGAAAATAGTGATAAAACACAAACTGACTTAATTTTATTAGCTTGACCCAGTGTGCTTATATAGGCATGTTTACATATATCATAAACCTTGTACCCTCACATGCATAAATTGATATACAATTTAAAGTTCCAGGGACTGTACTGAAGAAAAAGAAATCAAGGTTGATCAAATTAATAGATCAGGAAAAACACTCTTTCGGGAGTAAAAATTAAATAAATAAAAACAAGAAAAAATTACAGTTCGTTGATTTATCAGATACATACACAAATGACTGAACAGCATTACTAGATATCGACTGCCCCAGATGGATATATAGATACGGATGTATAGAAAGTTTTTTTTTAGATAAGATCACACTCTGCTATCGATATATAGGCTGTCCACAACAATCTCGCTTCTGATTGATTGTAACTACTGATATCCTCCTGATATCTTATATATACAGTAGATATCTATGATAGATCCTGTATATATATAGAATATCTACGGCCATCACTAAGGCTGCCGTTAATCACCAATGTGGCACTATGGATAAGTAATTAATATAGACTACATTTTTTTCACTGATCTCAATCACTATTTATTACATTCGCTACTTTAAACTAGAGTAAAACATAAATAACATACCTGATTTCTAGAATGGCAGATCTGTACTTGTCAATTTCAAGTTTTTCGCACATATCTAGAAACCCACCAGTCAACTTAGTAACATAATCCGGGATTGGGTTAAGTCCTTCATTGTCGACTTGGTTTACTCCATGCACCATTTCACCTACTCTTGACAGCTTCTCTAGGCATTGTTCTCTCAATACTCTACTGGTGCTTGTCTGTGGAGAAGGCAAGTCACTCCCTGATTCACTATCGATTCTTCTATTTTCATGAAATGCATCCCCTGTCTCTTTATTTGAAAATGCTTCACTCCTATTCAGTTCCTGTTTATTCAACATGGTAGACTCCTGTTCAGCATTATTTATGTTAGAACAAACTGTATCTATACTTGTATCATACAGCTGTGATTTAGCATCACTTTGTGAAACACACACTTGTTGAATATGCTGTGGGGTAGATTCACACGATTGTGGAAGAATCTGTAATTGCTCCCGCAATGGCATAATTTATCCTTGTCACTTCGCAGATGTTCAATGTTTTCTTTCATTCCTGTAAATGTACATGCAAATACATTTGTCAATAGTAAAGCATTAATAACAATAATGTGATAAAAAGACACTGTATTTGCCTTTCCTGCTATTGCTTGACTTTTAGCCTAGCTATATTTTCACGATCTAATGAACGATTTTTCCAACTAACTATTTATCAAATGAAATTTGTCATTAAAGTATAAATAACACGCTCACTCCACGGGTAGTAAACGATATAATTTTGTTCATTATAATAATGTCATACTCATAGTAATGGCATCACATTATTCATTTGTAATGACTGTATTACGTACTAGTATTATAAAGATCTACATTATAATGGCAGGGTTTCTTCGAGGGGAAATTAGACAAAGGAGGCAGTGAAAAACATACACGGGGGCTCGGGGCGATTTAGCCCCCGAAATGCCAAAAAGAGCCCCGGAAATGCCAAAAAGAGCCCCCGGAAATTTGCATAGAGTTAAAGGCAAACCAAATTTTAGAGTGCTATTTTCATGCACCTTGAAAAGTAGCCCCAGAAAAATAAATTATATTTTTTTCCCTGAAAGGAGGGAATGGCTAGTTTGGGGAAAAACGCGCAGGATGGATTCAAAGACATACCATAAGCACACATGCAGATGCTGCAGGCAGATACAGGGGGAGAGAGGGAGGGGGTTGTGGGGGGTCTGCCCCAGCAAAATTTAAAAAATGTGAATGTCTTAATTATACTGCATTTGAGGCACCCTGAAAATAAAATGACATTATTTTGACAACGGCGGGTAAATACAGGAACATTTTCACAATGTCGATGTTAAATTTGACAACGGAGGTGTGCCAGTGTGCCTCTTATGTATAAGAAACCCTGCAATGGCACCATTTAATCACTGGCAACTGAGTCAAGTGCGCCCCACCCCATCACACTCATGCTACAGCACACACATGTATTATCAAAATGTAGATCTACCATTGCAACCCATTCTCTCCCGCTCTCTGTACTGTAGCGGAGGCGAAACCTTCGCTGAAGGGGCTATAGCCTACAGTACAGTGAGTGAGCTAGTCCAAGTTTCCTCTGACCAATAAATTCAGGGGTCGAAATTAGCGGTATCCCGATATCCGCGGGATAATAGATTCTTGTGTTGGATACCAGATTTCAATGCTTGGCTGTTGTTGTTGACGTTGTGACATTAATTTTGTGTGGGCTACACCGACTCCGACTCCGAGCCATGCACGGCATACACTGATACAGGGCTACATCATGGGTTGAGCCATTAAAGCCGCAGTATGCGCATCCAAACGCTAATTTCTCCAGTACTAGACTAGAAAATTTATTCTTCGTGTCATGCATAATCACACTACCTTATGACAAAATAAACTCTAGACTCTAGTTCCTCCCATTTCACTGCGCGTTTGCTTAAAACCCACAAGAAAGAGGTGAGAAAACTGGCATTCTGGCGCAAACGCCGACTGTTTGCCAAACAATTTAGCCTCGAAGTGGTGAGGTGACGTCACATGTTTTTATCTTTGGTACACCCGTACCGCTGCACCGCAGCACCGCTGTGCGGTTGCTTGGCAGGGCAACGCGAAAGTGTCAACAACATCGGAGAATTTGAACAACATTGGAGGTATTTTCAAATACCTTTTATAAGACAACACGCCGGCGCAGTGAAATGGGAGGAACTAGAGTTTATTTTGTCATAAGGTACCGGTAGTGTGATTATGCATGACGACGTGGATATTCGTCCGAGCATCGGACACAGGTCTGTTCGTATGCGCTATTCGTCCGAGCAGCGTACCGCGCCGCAGGCGCAAATAAAGATGTTCCATACTGCAGTCCTCCAACCCGAAGCGATCAGGGCAGGACACAGGCTCCTACTAGCAATAATAAGGGGCCAAACAGGCATTGGGTCTGCTGCGGCAGTTGGTTAACTGCTCTGGAGATGCAGGCTTGTATGCCATTAGCCAGATGTAGAGTTCATCTGTTTGTCTGATTGAGCGACAAAAGACTAATATTTTTTTTGACTTGACGCCCATCTCTTTAATGTGATTTAGTAGCCACATTAGCTCTATTTCGTACTTTTCTGTCGACCGCTGCACATGAAGATATATGTTGGGCCTGAAAGTAAACAATGCAGACAGTCAGATGAATAGATGTTTCTAGTTGATAAAAAAGCCCGATCACTTTTTAAACAAAAAGAGACACCCTAAATAATTATTGTTGTTTATTGTTAAAACCTTTTGCTTTCACATAAAAACCGCAAATTATGTGCATATATATACATTTACCTATCTGGAACCAATGCAAGCATGTGCATATCGGGAGGAAGAGCAAGAACTTTCCTCAAATCCTCCAGCACTTCCTGCGTCGCAGTTGCAGTCAATATCAATAATGGTGAATCGTCAAAAAAGCTGATGAGATGTGTCACCTTTCGGTACTCTGGCCTGAAATCAGGCCCCTGTAAAGAGAAGTTGTGACAATTTTAGAATAAATATTACAATATAAAAAATATAATAATTAGTGCTGAGATGCTGATTGTTCTATTAAACAATTTATAACGACTGATAGACAGATAATGTTAGTTGACATGAAAGGTGGTGTCAGTTGTATATATGTTTGTGTAACAATACTATAGGATTGTGTGACACATACTGCATTATAAATATAGAATAAATGTGGAACACATGCATATTTACCATGTTGATATGCAATGAGCTTCGTCAAAGCACAGAAGGCACACCTGTGACTTGATAGCCAGAAGCATGTCGAGCCAAACTGGCTTCATTATGGACTCAGGGGAGGCCAACACTACATCAACGTCTCCAGATTGTATTGCTATTGTTAATGAACAGACATTGGCAAGTTATTTTGGTTATAGTAACATTTGTCGATATAATCAAGTAAAAGTGTATTGAAATTCATTTCTGAAATTCTTAGCATGTGAACCATGATACTTTCGGTGGCAACTCTTTCCCCAAATAGTAGATGCATATGCAGCAATGTACAAAGAACCTTCTATGTCAGTTGATTTCAAACCCTGCATGAGGCAGGCACACTTGATGTTATGCTTGAGCATATCTCGCTGCTGGTCCAGCATCAACGACCGTAATGGCGATATAACAATCACTGTTTTCTTCTTGCCAGATATCTAAACAAATTCTTTAATAAATATTGAGGTGTGTAACAAAGAAACAACATTCTTGTCATATTTTTACTGCAAAAGAATTGTGAAAAAATTCCCCCCCCTTCAGTTTTTTTTTTAATCACTTATAGAATTTAGTTATTTTAATTACAATAACTAAATTCCATAACTGATTAACTTAGATTCAGTATCAGTATCAGTGATTTCATTAACTTAAAATTACAATGTAATTACAGACAGTATGCAAATAAGCAACAACACAACATTAGTTAAACGTTGGAGCACTTTTACATAATAATAATAAATATATTTATATAAAATACATATTGCAATATAATACATAGCTAATAGTTAATAGGAATGAAACAGAGAGTAATAGTTTTGCGTTATTACTATATGGTTTTTGGCATCCAAAACCCCGTATCTCAAATTTCCCGCCAAAATTGCACGTGCTGTGAATCTGAAAAGTGCTACCTTTTCCATCATCAACTGGGAAGAAGCTAAATAGTATGCTTTTCCCAAAGCCCGTCGGCAGCAATCCGTACACACTAATTCCTTCTTTTAATCTGTCCAGGCATTCGGCTTGCTGTGGCTTCAGATCAAAATTGTAATTAAATTCGTTCCTCATAGCTCTAAACATGTCTGCTGCCATTTTCGGTTTTTGTGCATGGAAGTAAGATGTGTAAGGATGAAAAATATATATAACAAGAGACAAGATATTATGTTGACATGATGCTGTTTATTTAGCTATATTTTCAGAAATAAACAATTATGTAGAAAACAAAACTAGACGCTTCTAGCCAGCCAAGCAATATATTATGGGGCTAACTGTTCTGGCGCTACTGCAACGCACCGGAAGAGACGACATTTCTCACCGGCCAATGAAAGCATCGCTGTGACGTTGTCGCGGTGCGGTTCAATTCGATTGGCAGTTTTGACCGTTTTGTGTGTAGCGAGTTTGCGTGGTTTTTATGTCGTGATGTTTTAATAAAATAAACGTGATTAAAGAGGAGAAATACTGGCATGACAAGTATTTGTAATGTAGGTAAGATTGTTAATAAAGCGACGGCTTTAGGTATTTCTTTCTGATTTTTTATGTAACACGGCCGTAAATAGTAAAAAAGGTTGTCGTGATTTTGCATGTTGGAATTCACAGGTTTTTGTCTACTGGAAAGCCTATTGGGCCCTAAAATACACCAGAATATAAAAATTTTAGGGCAGCAATTTTATTGTCTATACGGTACAGTGTACGCGGGCTATACGAAACAGGAACACGACAATCGACATAAATGCAAAGAATAAATTGACATATATACAAAGTAATTGCTGTAAAATTAAAAAAGACCTCACAAATAAGTCTCAACACCTAAAACCTTTAAGCACGGTAGCCAAACACCTTAGTGCTTACCTTTTCTCTGGCAATATGTAACCTGGTATGATACAGGCGGTATGCGTTTCGCTTCACTACACTATCTAGCCGCCTGTACGCCCAGTCAACGCTGGCGTTTCGCAAGCCTCAGTGTATCGATACAGGGAGGAGCAACTTGATATAACTGGAGAAAGACGTCAGGCAAAAGCCTGCTCGCTGATCTGGCTGATTGCCTTATCAGCTTCTCTGATTGGGCGCAGAAACGATTTCGTGTTTACGCGTTGGCGGCTGGAGAGGCAAGGTGGTACAGGCGGTGAAGTGTAGTGAAAGCGGAACCGGAACCGCTGCTATCCATAGCAGGTTAGCAATACTGCAATGGTCGATGCCTCGATGCAAACTCCACGACAGATGGCGCTCTCGCTCTGGCTCGGTATTGGTTGATCGGCGATGGGCGATGTGTTGTATGTTTAAGTACGAGTTATGCAACCAGGGCATTTTTAATTCAGGTGATTTAGCCACTTCGGTT